ATCTGCTGAAAGTGGAAAGTTTTTTCTGTGCTCAATGGAAATCAGATGTTAAGGGGCGGGGTCTACTAGCACAATTTGTGACATCACCAATAGTTTGGAAGTCAAATCCTGGTCCAGTATGCAACTTGTACAGTGTGATGTAGAATCCACCAGTGCACAGACGCTGAGAATGGACTTCACAGTGAAGTAGGAGACATCTTGTGTCCAGCAGGAAAACTTTAGAAATGGAAAACATTTTAATGAGTTGAAAGAGTAGACGTCTTTTCAACGATTTTAATGTGAGTTCTAAGCAAATATTAATACATGTCTGCATATAATATTTTGATATTAATAAAAAATAATAGCTGCTAAAAATGTTCCCACTGTTAATATTACCACATGTTCACTCAGACATTAACAAACAAGGTTTATGTTAATATATTATGTTAATAAAATGTGCTGTAGTCCCTATTCAGTCTGATATTTACACTTCAACCGTCTTTATCTCTTGCTCAGGTATTCGCAACGCCCTGCTGGATTCAGAGGAACACGTCTGCCCCACTTGTAGCCAATCCGATGTCTCCCCTGATACCCTGATAGCTAATAAATTTCTCAGACAGGTGAATTGACAGACGAATGGAAAACATGTGTTGATGTTAGAGTCGGAGGGGAATGGAGAGCATTAATTTAAGCTTCTTGTCTGTCTGTTACTCCCAACGCAGGCTGTGAACACTTTTAAGAAAGAGCGGGGCCAAGCTAACAGTCTGGGAGGAAGGTGTGGTACCTCCCAATCCCAAAATCCAACCCTGATTCCGAGCCCTGTCCCCACCCAACCGCCTCTCACCATTCAGAGCCAACCACCGAAGCCTTACCAGTCAAGCCACAGCCAGCAGGTGAGCCTCATAATGATGTGTTTCATGTAGCACTGTAGCTGCGTGACTCAGGAGCAAACAGAATAATTACTGTTTTATTTTCACAATCAGATGTTTGTCAGAGGGATAGTCTTCAGAAAAAAACCATTGAAACAATTGTTGGAAACCACAATTCACTGCATATTTAAACTAACAGGAAATATGTATGTATTTGGTCATTTATATTGTCTTGTGTAGATAATCGTTGTAATTTAGTATTATGCAAGTGTCATTTTTCTCTAGCTTGCCCGTATCTCTGATCCCTGCTATATTCTCTTTCTGCCTCCCCTCTTTAGGACCTTCTCCTGTACTGCTCACAGGCTGCAGACACCCCACCATCGTCTCAGGTGTGTGGGGCTCCTCCCACAGCAACAAGCCCCGCCTCTGCTGCTAAGACACCGAGCACGTCCCTCCAGCCTGCGCAAAGCCCCCTGGAGATATCTGACAAGTAAGGTCACTTGGCGATGCAGTGTGTGTGGCGTTGGTGATGTTGGTTCACTCATTTGTGGTGACTCATCAGATTTCTTGTCATGGTAGCTTTAAGTTATAAAAAAGAAACTTTAGAAGTTGTAATCCTTTTCTGTTTTATTTCTAAGTTCTACTTTCTAAGTAGATTGTAGAATGTAGTTGCTTCATACCCACAGAAGTTGGTGAAATCTCTGATCAAATATGGCACCGTGGATTCGAGACTGAAGAACTTCAAACAATCACACTGTGTTATTGTGTGATCTATCTTCTGTTTATTCAGAGAGGCTGAAGAGACACATGATGACTCAGCGGCTGCTGCCCCTTCTGTCCTGGTTTCACACAAAGACTCCACTGCTGCTCCATCACAACCGATACCACTGGTTAGGACACACAGACACAGACACACTAACTGCACGCAGAAAAGTTTCTCTGTATGAAATCTGTGATATTTTTTCAGGTTAACGACGCTCCAGCGGCAGAGCAACCCCAGACAGTCAGTGTGAATCTTCAGCAGTCCCCCGCAGGTGAGTTACTAAGAAGCAGTGTCTCTTTTTGTTTATTCATTATACTGTGATTCAGACTATTTTGATAATTGATTAATCTTTAAAGTAATTTTTCATGCAGACAAAAAAAAGAGAAGAAAACTTTGTTTTTCAAATATGTAGATTTCCTGCTTTTCCCTGTTTTATATCATATTAAACTGAATATCTATGGGTTTTGGACTTACAATACAAGGCATTTAAAAACATCACCTTGGACTCCTGGGATGGGCATTTTTTTAAACGATGAATCTAGAAAATAATCGGCAGATTAATTGATAATGAAAATTATCATTTGTTGCAGTCATTATACTGTAAAATATTTTTTTCCCTGAATCCACAGGTCCAGCTGCAAGACACCCTGGGCCCCCAACATGCTGGGATAGGTCAGTGAAACATGTATGTGTTTAGATACTAGTCTGTATTTTCTATCTATCCACTGTCTGATATCATTTCCTCTCTCCCCCACAGCTCCCCCTCCTCAGGTTGTCCTCCTGGTGGATGGAATAAATCGAACACCCAGCAGCTTCCTCCCTCCTCTTCCTCTTCATACCCAGCAACTCCTCCACCCCTCTTTCCCTCCCCCCTTTTCCACACATTCCTTGCTGCTCAGCAGCCTCTCAACAGTTACCCCCCTGGGTACCCACCTACAACGCCCGTCTGGACGCTCCCAACCCTCCAGGGGGCCCCCATCCCTTCCCTCTGCTCCTCTACCACCGCCTCCTCAATCCCCGCCCTCATCCCCAAGGAGTGGTACATGAATCAGAGAAATAAGAAGGAAAGGTAAATGAAGCACTCAACTGGTCTCATTTTCACAAGCAGCAGGTTGCTGAAAAGTCTCCAATCATCTTAAATTGTAATTATAGGGGAAATAAATTTGCCGGCTGTTTTAGTCTTTTTTAAATGGTCAGGAGGAGGAAGACCTCTCAGTTGCTTCCCTCTCTCTTTGTCACTCAGGTCACCTCACAGAGGATCTACCTACAGACGCTCCTCTTCTCGTTCTAATTCAAAGTCTTCTAAACCCAAGTCTGGTCGCTCCTACTCTCACTCTTCAAGCAGATCCAGATCCCGTTCCCGGTCCAGGTCCCAAGGCAGATCAAGGTATCTTGTGCAATTTTTCTGATTTTGTTACCTTTTTTTGTATTCTGTTTTCCACCATTAAAATGATTCTTACAAGATCTTGCATTTAATGTGTTGTCTTTTTTTGAAAAGTGAGCCTCTGGTACTCTGGTACTGTGCAATGGACATATTAAAGGCCAACCAATATTGGATTTTTGATATCAGTAGTTTAAAAGTTTTGGGGTTTAAAAATTCTGATACCACTATATCTGCCAATATTACCTTTTTTATATAAACACATTACATAGAACAGTATTGATACAGATTGCTGCGGATACATACTGAACTGGGCATTTTAAAGTTAAACAATCAACTGGTCAGTGCTTTTTGGACAAATTATGTTATGGTGACACTGTTTCTAAATGACCTCAAACCAAGGTTGGCATTTCTTTCCTGCAGTTTCTTGTTACTTATCGGCCGATACTGATATAAATGCTCTAATATTGGCTTATTTCTCGGTCTAGCTTTAGCCCATATAATATACTATATATTTCATCAGGTTATTATCAAGATTTGTGTAGGATGGTGAAATCTTTTACACATTGGATAAAATATCCAGTATGACTATCAGGAGAAATAAACATGGAATGAATGTGGTTTCTGTGGGGAGTACATCAACTCAATCAGTAACAAAGCAATGGTGCTTTAAAATATGTGTGATATTTGACACCATGATTTTCTTTTCTTTTCCGCCAGGCCCCACTCGCCTTACTCCCGCCACAGGGACCTCCATAGCCGCTCCCATTCCTCCCACTCTTATAGCTATGGTTACAAACGTTCCCCTACACCGTCCTCATCATCTTCACCTCGAGTGGGTTACGACTCCAGGTCCAAGTCACCGTCACATCACCGCAAAAACAGCCATCACAGTCGGCATCACAGTAAGAAATCAGCTTTGAGCAGCTACAGCTCCAGGAGGCGAGGGGAACGCTCCCAGAGGGAAACCGGAGGCTCAGGGGGGAGTTTTGATAGTCACCTGTATGCTCAGCATGCAGAACCAACTAGCAGCCTGGGGCTGGACAGAGAGCGCTACCTGCAGTGGAAAAGGGAGTACAAAGAGTGGTGTGAGAAATACTTCAACAGCTATGTCGGACACTTCCACCAGCTGCCTCCTCCCCTCCTCAATCTTCCTCCCTCTCTTCTTCCTCAGTGGGGGGACAGAGAAGGAAGCAGAAATCCCTCACACGCCAACTCGGAATCTCGCAGCCGACCACAAGGTAGGCGCACTGCCCGGAAGGACGAGCGCTCTCCTCCATCGCAGTCATCCAGTGACAGCCGCTCCCCTCCTCCTCAGTCTTCGAGTCATTCCACGCCATCTCAGTCATCGAGTGACAGTCACTCTACGCCATCTCGTTCGTCCAATGAAAGCCATTCCCCTCCCTCCCAGTCGTCTAGTGACGGCCGCTCCACTCCATCTGAAGACGGGGCTCAGCTGAGGGGATATCAGCAGAAGTGCGCTGAGAAGTACAGCCACCTGCCAATCACAAAGGGCAGTGAGAAAGTGGAACTACAGGAAACGAGTAAAGACGACAAGCACCTGATCACAAAGAATTTAAAGAATCTCAGAACCTTTAAATATGAGCAAAAGAGCATGAAGAATCATGAGGAAGGAAGAGGAGAGGAGTCTTCAAGCCCTGATGCTGCAGACCCTGGACCAAATACCTGCAAAGACGGCCCCCCAATACAGGACAGAGCAACTGCCAGTGAGGCCTTAAAATCAATCCAGCCACTCTTAAAACCAGATAAACGTTTGGATAAAGACTATAAAAGGAAAAGCGGAGAGCAAAGGAATTTGGAAATAGATAAAGGATGGAGAAGAGACAAATATTCAGACTCCAGGCAGGATGTGGAGAGACGGCGCAAAGAAAAGCCCAGCAAAGGGGTATGCAGGGTGGATACAGACAGATACAACAAACCTGGAGGCAGCAAAGCTTCTGACTCAAGATCAGAGAAGAACAGAAAAAGAAAAGGAGAAGACATGGAGAGAAGTTCTGTTAGGGCTCAAAGCAGCAGATGCCTGAAAACAGAAGTTGCAGAGGTCCCTACAACCCGCAAGAGTGAATCACCTGATCCATTTGACAGAAAGAAGCAAAAAACGGAGAAGAAAAAGGAAAGGAAAACATGGCCTCTGACACAGAGAGACATCTGGGAGGGAGGGGTAGTGGTGAAACCACAGAAGAAGATCAGCATCAACATCAACCTGGATGGGAAAAGGAAGGAAGAGAAAACTGAAAAACAGGACTCGTCTTATTTAGAGAGCATCAAAATTGAGAAGACTGACAATGTAGAGGAGGAGAAGTCAAACAGAGGAGAGACTGAAGTAAGGGAAAATAAGGAATCCAGCAGAGACGAGGAAAGTTTGTCTGAAGAAAAAATAAAACCAGATGAAAGACAGTCAAGACCGATATGGGAGAAAGCTACATTCAGAGATGATAAGGTAGGACTGAGGGAGAAAGCTGAAGGAGAGAAGAAAGAGAGCAGAGAAGAGGATGACTTTGACTTATGGCATAGCGCCCTAACAGGAGTGGAGGAGGAGGAGGAGGAGAAGAAGGAGAGTAAAAAACAGTGGGAGGAAGGAGACGGGATGGAGGGCAGAAAAATAAAAGAGTTGACAAATGACCAGAAGAGGAGTGTGAGGGGAGAAAAGGAAGAAGAGAGAGTGAGGAATTACGGTGTACGACAAGAGATGGGAGAGTTAGTTGCAGGTACTCCGAAGGAGAGGGCAGAGGGAGAAAACAGAGGAAACCTGTGGGGAGAGTCCAAGCCAAAGAAGGAGATGATGGAGAGAGAGAAGTGGAGGATGAGGAAAGAAGACACGATGAGGTCTGAGTCACAAAGGCGCGGAAACAAGGACCACCATGAAGAACCAAACACCACGGTGGACGATGGCAGGTCAGAATGTTACTTATGTGCTCTTTAACGTTATTCCTGCAATATTTAAAACTGATATGCAGAACATGGCTGTTTATTTAGATATATTTTTGATGAATGATGATTGTTAGCCTGCACTGAACGGCGGACTCCGCCACTAACAATAACAACTTACACTGTACATTCTGTTTCTTTTATTCTGTTTCTTGTCTATTGGCCCACATGCGCAACCAATAACAAGAATAGATACTACGATTAGAATGTTAATCAAGTGTCATTATGTCAACATATAATTAGTTGGGTCTAGCTAACAGTTAGGAAGTTTTTTCTGTCAAACACAGAAAGTGTTGAGTTCTTTCAAGACAGGATCCAGACATAAATCAGATTCTAGAGTAGAGATGTGTACTGATGTAAAGTTTGTGTGTGTATGTTAAATGCAGCGGCTACGAGGATCAGGAGAGGAAGAAGGTGGTAAAAACTGTGGAGGAATACACTCAGAACAGAGCCACAGACAGAGAGGAAGAGCTCGTACAGGTGTGGAAATATAACGTAAATTCATAATCATTTGTGTTTTGTATGATTGTATGATTTTTGTCTTGTATAATTATTCTTTGGTTGAACTGCTTTGCTTTGTTTTAGAGTTTCATGAGTCAAACTATTAACTACAGCACTCATACATGCATGCACAGAGCAAATATGTTTATCTCAGTCACGTCCTCACTCTCTGTCTCAGGTCCCTCGCTCCAAATGGGAGAAGGAAGAGTCTGAGGATGGCGAGCAGGATGAAGAAAAGGTCAAAGTTGAAATGGGTGCTTTTGCAACATTTCTGCCCCCATCATCCTTGTCTGTGACAGCAGAGACACCAGAGACACCAGCCGACAGGGAAACAGAGGGAGAGCATGAACAGAAGAGACAGAGGTCAGTGGAAACGGAGAGAGACGGGGCCAGATCGTTGGAGTGGGAGAAAAACTCCAGCTCACACAGAAATGTGGCTCCCTCTAGTGGCAAAGACAGACCTGACAGCACCATGTCTGCAGAGAGAGACAGGGAGCGATGGATGGAGATGGAGAGACCCAGGGACAGAGAGAGAGGGAGGGACAGCGAGAGACAGAGAGATAGGCAGAAAGAGAGCAAAAGATCAAAAGAGAGAAGAAGGGAAGAAGAGAAAGGGAGAGACATGGAGAGAGAGAGGGGGCACGGCAGCAATGCCTCGGTCCAAAAGAGGAACCCCTCTTCCTCCTCTCACTCCTACTCTTATTCGACAGCACATGACACAGAGAGGAGAGACAGGCAGCGAGGGGACGACCAGAGCAGCAACAAGACCTCCTCCTCCTCCTCCTCCACTTCGACAAGAGATCCGTGACAAGGCTCCTCTTTTGGAGATATGAGATGGAGATGTGATGTGATGTGAGTTAGGATGCCTCTCTCCTCTCTCCTCCAGTGATCTGATAGCCAGTAATGGGCCCTGTAGCCGTGAGCCTGGCAGCACTGCTCACTCTGGCTTATGTGTCACACTGTACCCAGCATTCACCAAGAGTTAGTCGAGCGCAAGCAGCCGGGATATTGAGACTAGTAAAGTGTGTGAGTGTGTGTGTGTGTGTGTGTGTGTGAGAGACAGAGAGGCAGATATATACACTGGCAGACTGACTGACAGTAAGAAGCAGAAACAGTAACTTTCGTGAAGAGTTTAAAAAAGTGTTTTACAGTAAACCCATGGCTGTATTTCGGCTGTCTTTCTCTCTCATTTTCAGTCAACCTGAAGTTCCTCTTTCCCCGGCTGTTTATTTTAGAAAGGTGGCTTTGTTCCATTTACCGTACCCACTCCCTCTGCAGCCTCTACCCCCGTCAGACAAGTTAGAAAAGGGGAGCGACGAGGAAGAGGAGGAGGAGGGGGTGGGGGTGGAGGGGTGCATGATGTTTGGACAAACGGACAACCCGAACAGGATATAGAGGTCTACAGCCTGTGGGTGTGTCGGTTTGGCCGAGGTGCAGCTTGCACACAAACACACATGCGCACGCACAGACTCACATGTACACACAATCGTGGGAGTGTTCCCGCTGGAGGGCAAAGTCTCCCTTCCTCTTACACATTCATTCTCTCCTTTTCCCTCTGTCCCTTCATTCCCCCTTTCCGCCGTCACACCCCTCCACACCTCCTTCCTTTAGACCTCTCTTTCTCCTTCATCCCTCATTCCTTCTCTTGTGACAAACCGCCCCTCCTCCTTCTGAAAAGAGGAAAAAAAGAAAGTGTTAAAGATACAGAAGAGTTGGCCAACAGCAATGAGAAACTAGGAGGGAGAGGCCAAAATCACCACAGGGGACAATTATGGCTTAGGCTGTGTACATACAAGTGTGTGCGTGTGTATTTGTGTGTACGTGTGTGATTGTTTTTGGGTTTGATAGTTATAGAGGCGTTGAAGATAGTCCTGGAAGCCACTATCTGTCCTTCACAACTATTTGTCCCCTCCTTCTCTCCTCTATCCCTCCTTCCCTCTGTCTGTTTGGACCTTCAATTCCATCCTGTCAATTCACACTGTCACTTCTGTTTTAACTCATCTTGTACACTGGAGCTATACAAATACAGTATATGTGTGTGCGTGTGTGGTTTCATATCAACTGTATGGGCTTCAAATAAAGGCAGGGCTGTGGGTTAACTTCCTCTTCATCAGTAGGATCTGTGAGCTCCTGTGTCTGTTTGTTTGCTTGTGTAAAACCGGAACTTCCAGGTTCAGTATATGAAACAAGAAAGGGGTTGCTCACAGTGACAAGCTCACATAGAAATAACTCCAGTTCCCCTCAGCTCTGATTAACTTTTTAGCGCCTTTCAGCTCATTGTTTTGGTTTTCCTGCCAGCAAACCTAGCTGTTTTGGTTCACTGCTCTCATCAGGTAAGAGGTTTGCAGTGAAAAAGCTGTAAAAACTGTAGACTACCTGCTCAGCACCGAATCATGAACAAAGTTAGCGACTAGCTGATGAACATAGTAGAGACAGCAGCTAAGGAGCCAGATATTTTTCTCAGGTGTTAGTGGAGGCCAAACAAAGCCAAACACAATAATGTTGCTTTGTATCTGCTTAATGTGTAAATAGGCAACTGTTTGTCTTGTTCGACATATAAATGTAAAGGGTAATAATATGTCAGTGTTGTGTGAAAAAGCTTTTGCAAGTTCAAATATGATCCCAAAAGCATAGACAGAGGGAAATATAAAGACAAGGACAGATAAGGGAGAAACCATTATGATAGCGTATAATCTGCACGTTGCCACACTGGAAAACAGCTGTAGGTTTTTTTGCATGATAATTGCTGTTAAAATTAAAGTCACAATGGCTTCATATTCATAAAGTTGCAGCTGCAGTAGATACTCATTTAGCTTAACCTCAGGAATATGTTTCACCTTTTAAAAGAGAGACTGCATTAAGTTACAGAAGCAGCAGTGAGCCAGGAATTGACTTCAGGACTTGCTCTCTACATGCTCTGCTTGTTATCTTTAGATACGATGTTAGTTTTGCAAAAAGAGGCCAAACTGTCCTGTTCCATCTACGCCCCCTCCTACCCCCACCCGACTCCATCAACCCCTTTGCCCCAGATCACCTGCCTGCCCACACTCTTCATTGTTTCCACCTCCCTACTTCTCTCTTTGCAACTCTCACTACCCTCATACACCAGAAGCAGCATGCAAAGAATAACTCCATCTGATCCATTTGATCTTCTTTCCACTCTCTCTATCTCTCTCCTCTGCCCCCATGCCTCTTCCTCGTAATGGAGTATCTCGGAATCTAGAATGGTTCATGGGGGCTTTTTTCAGGTGGGATCTCCCATAACAGGGGTACACATAGTTGGTTTTTTTTAACGCTAATTCCCCAGTTGAGACTACATCTGATCTGAGTGAAAACACTTTAAGGGACTCTCATGTGAATTCGGAGTGAATGAGAGAATACTTCAGGACTGGAAAGGTGATGGCTGTTGAGAAAAGTAAATGAGGGTTTCAGAGTTTGTTCTAAGAGTGTATGTGAGTGTGGGAAAGCATTTGAGATAGATAGAGAGGTAGAGAGACAGTGTGTGTGTTTGCATGTGTATATGGTGTAATTGTCTGTGACCCTGGCATTTTTTTTTTCTTTTCGTGGTTAGACTGTTTGGCCTTCCCATAGTCCCTCTGGCCTCAGAGACATCCAGCCTCAAGGTTTAGCGTGTGTGTGTGTGTGTGTGTGTGTGTGTTGTACAGGAGAAGAGAAGGGAGCGATGGGGGTTAGAGGTGGATTTGATAGCTCAGGACACCCAGACCCCTCTCCACCCTCTCCCCCTCCATACCCCTCTGTTCAGTCCTTGATAAGTGGAGCCGGAGTCTGTGGGGGTTAGGGATTCCTGTCTGGCACAAACACACACATACACATAGAAACACACATGCACTGGGATCCGCCCGCTCTACATTCCTGTGTCCGACTAAGGAAGCAGCCTAGCCGTCTTCCCCTCCACTCCCAAATTATCCCCTTCTCCTAAAGTCAGTGCATACTTATCACACGCCTCTCTACCTCTCTCTACCATTCTGACTCATACATACCTCTTCTATCTCCCATGTTTTTGTCCTCTCTATCCTTCCACTAAGCACTCTGCAAACAGCACGTCTAATCATTTAGTAGTGAGTTGTAAAATGCTCTCTTGGAGAAAAAGATCTGCCAGTACATTGACATAATGTCACCTTATTGCAGTCCAAATACATTTCATGTCTGGTGTCATTTTCATGAAAGAAGAAAGACACCTGGAACTAGATTAGAAACTTTGGAATTCACTCATTATATATTTTATATTTTATATTTTAGGAAAAATTTAATTCAGAAACTTAATTTCAGATATTTCTGCTGCTTGTCTGTCCCTCTGTCACTGTTTTTATCACTGCTCACCCTTTTTAAATGTTTTCTCTCATTGCTCAAACTCTCAACTTTTCCCCTTTACCCCATCTCTCCCTTTCACCCTCTTATCCTCCACCACCCCCCTTTCACTATCTGACTATGTTTATATCTTTTACCCCTTTCTCTCCTTCCCTCCCTCCCTCATTCTGTTCCTCCCTCCCTTCCAGGGGTGTGTAACAAGGGTTAGGAAGGGGTCATGTGGTCTCACACTGCCCTTCTCTCTAATGGCTTCTTAATGAGAGAGTCAGAGAGGGAGAGAGAAGCAGGGAGAGGAGCAGTTTTGAGTAGCGGGGTGAGATATCAGTAGTTCCGCTTAGGGCACTGACTCTGTGTGTGTGTGTG